CGAACCCGCCACCTTAGGTGTACGTGGCTGGCGCCTTAGCCAGTTGAGCTATAGGTGCCGAGCCAGTTTTGGAATATTTCATATGGAGGTTAGCTGTGAGACCCATCATAAGTGCTTCAAGAATTCAGATTGGCAGACAGGAAATAAGGAACTGCATAGAGGCAGAGTCGACTGAATATCATGAACTGTAACAGTGGCACACTGGAAACAAGGAGAGAAGACTGTGTGGGTGAAATGGGTCTACCCAGTGAGGCCGGCAGGACCTGGAGGGGGCTCCTCTTTGGTACTACAGCCAACCCACACATAAAAGGCTCTTGAGCAGGGAAATGTCAATATAAAAAAACCCTATCTTAAAGAACTTAATCCTATCACAGAATAAAGGATGGAGCAGATTAGAGATAAGAAGACCAAGAATAGATGTGCTAGCACAACAGTCTTCCATGAGGGGCTGACCAACACGGGGGGAGGATGTTCACACTCATTAATAATCATCAAAGACACGCAAATTAAAACTATAAAATAATATTTTCCGGTTTAACAAATTGGTAAAGAATAAGAACTAATAATACTAGCAAAGATAAAGCAATCTCAGACACTGGATGTAAATGGGACAGTCTTTATGAAAAGCCATAGAGCAATATGCATTAATAATTTTAAAATATTCAAATCCTCACACTCAGTAATTCACTCTTAGAATATTTACTTCTGAGGAAGTAAATTTATTTATCCATTCGGCAAGTATTTAACTGAGTACCTACTATGTTCAAGGCAGTGAGCTAGGCCCTGAGAATATAGCAGTAAAATAGATCACATCTTTTCTCTTGTGACAACTAAGAGAGACACACATTAAACAAATGATTAAAAAATGCATCATTGCAATATTATAGGATGCAATGAGAGTACCTTTAAATATTGGATTTAAACTGTGAGACCAAACAAGACCTCTCTGGGAAGTGACATTTTGAACTGAAGGATGAAAAATTTAGCCACATGAAGAATGGGAGGAATTTTCATTTTTCTGGTAAACGAAACAATACTCATGAAGGTAAGAAAGAATTAGTTGTTTGTGAGATTTCAGAGGACTCATTTGTTGGGTCCTAGTAAGCACTAGATGCTGTACTAGCATCTGAGGATAAGGAGAAAGTAAGCACAGTCCAGCCGAGATAATAGTGACAAAGCAGCTGTACTGGGGACCTAATGGAAGGGCCTGGCGTTCATAATGAAGCCAAAACAATATGAGGAAATGATTATAAAAGAAAGAAACCGATGCATTTAGCAGGAGAAAGAAGAGGATGGACTAAAGGCAACGAACAAAAAGACTGCTGCCTTTCTGTCTCTTTCAATCCAAATATTAGAGACTTACCTGGGAAAGATATGAAGAAAAATGTACCATTCATTAAAAAAGAAAATAAGCAGAAAAATTTAAATGGGTTAGCACGGAAAAGGTCATACTGCCGAAAGGTCAAAGTAGAGATGAAAACCAAATTTTAAACATACATACGTGAGTTAAGGAATAACAATACTCGGGAAACTATTTCCCCATACACAAACTGCTCTCAACTATGCTAAGCATTCAGGGCACAGCAAATACTTTTTCAGAGTAATAAGCAGTCTCTCTTTGCAAGAGGCAAAATGTACACAGACTAATTCAAGGATTTGAAATCTTGACCGACCAGATGAACCACAAGGATAAGCGGGGAAAAGTGGTATTTACACAAACCTTATGGTGAGAATATGTGTGGAATCATTAGCAAGTTATGAAAAGGAGCCATAAAAATGATTCTCACTCCAGGTGAGCAGTGCGCCTGAGGGAGGAGAGCCCTTTGCTTGTATCTCTTCAATTACCTAAATGATAATACTGTATATTTGGTATGTGTCAACAGCATTATAGAGTTAAACCATATTTTACAGTGTAGATGGTACCTTAAAAAAATGTGGAACTCTCTGTGCTATTTTCACAACTTCTATGAGTCTAAAATCATTTCAAAATAAAAAGTAAACAAGGTCAGGCACAGTGGCTCATGCCTGTAATCTTAGCACTTTGGGTGGATGATGTGGAGGATCACTTGAGGTTAGGAGTTCAACACCAGCCTGAGCTACATGGTGAGATCCAATCTTTACAAAACCCAGAAAAATTAGCTGGGCATGGCAGCGGGCACCTGTAGTCCCTGCCACTTGGGAGGCTTAAGCTGGAGGTTGCTGTGAACTAGGCTGACGCCACAGCACTCTAACCTGGGAGGCAAAGCAAGATCTACCCTCAAAAAATTTAAAAGAAAATCAAAAATTAAAAAAAGTAAACAAACAAAAAGACCTGGGTAGTCTTGGTAAAAAAATAACATGCAGCCTAAAATTTGTATTAATTTCTTGAGGCAATTATAAAGTAGAATAAATAAGACAATCCTCCAAATTGCTATAAATCCAATTTTCATTTCTCTCAAGGGCTTCAGGTGCGTATCAAGAGAAAAACTCCACACTGGATTTTCTACTGCCCTCCACTTAAGGGACACTGGGAAAGTTACTTCTACCTCTCTAAGCCTCTGTTACAGCCACCTCAAGTAGTATTATATGCTTATAGACCAGCATGTTACACAAATACTCATTGTTGTCATTTAAATTTTTCTTTTTTTTTTTTTTGAGACAGAGCCTCAAGCTGTCCCCCTAGGCAGAGTTCCATGGCATCACAGCTCACAGCAACCTCCAACTCCTGGGCTCAAGCGAGTCTCCTGCCTCTGCCTCCCAAGTAGCTGGGACCACAGGTGCCTGCCACAATGCCTGGCTATTTTTTGGTTGCAGCCATTGTTGTTGTTTGGCAGGCCCAGGCTGGATTTGAACCCGCCACCTAGGTGTATGTGACTGGTGCCTTAGCCACTTGAGCCATAGGCGCCCAGCCTAAATTTTTATTTTCTTGAACTGCACTATCTTGTCTTTATTAATGCAAGGAATACCTCCAAGAAATGATTAACTATTTAGATTTTTTCAAGATTGTGAAATCGTCAAATTAATCATATGCTACCCAGCAGGGATCCAGATTTAGCCAACAGATTTATATAATAATAGACATAGTTTTTACATGTTATCTTCCTAGAAAGTGCATTATAAAAGAACTATAACCTAAAAAATGTTATCTGCTTAGCTCTTTCCTATAAGTTGCATTAACTGGATTGATGAACCTGTTTCTTGAAAATTAGTCTTATTAATTCTTAAGACCTAGGTCAACACTTGAAATGTCTAGTAAATTTCAATGGAGCATAAATATACAATTTGAACAAATATATTGGCATCATACATAAAGTAGGCTAGATAAAATATATTTCCCCATTGACATTAAAACAAAATAATAGCACTTTTGAGGGGAAAAAAAGCAACTAAAAAAAAAAAAAGGGAAAGAAAAAGAAGGCAATTATATCAGGAATTTCATGAAATCCAAAAGATGAATACTGAGAACCCAAAGCAAATTTTAAAGGCTGACAAGGAGAATTTTGTCAACCTTTTACAAAACTGGAAACTGATAAATACTTGTAAATGATACATTGCAAATTGTTTTTAATAACTTTTTTTATAATGTTAGGGAAAAGATTGTTACTTCCTGGGTTAAAATTTCGTGTACAACTTAAAGGCCAATGGGAAAACAGAGTACAAAAGCCAGCCTCTCAGATGAAGTCTTTACCCATTAAAATCTCAAGGAAGTCCATTTTAACATGGTAGCTAATTTTGTTTCCTAAGGAATATATTTCTACTAGACCAAAACCAAGAATGATTAGGGTGCACGGTGTGAATGAAAACACTATTAGAAATCATGCAAAAATAATATTCAGTAAGATGTATCTTTAAAGCAATAAGAAAAGCAGGATTTTCTGTTGTGGCCTACTTAAAATTTTCAGCGTGCTTCATTCAGCGAGAGTCTACTCACTTCCGAAGGGTATGGTCCATGCCACTGTTCGGTATTCCTTCCAACTTTGCATTTTTCTGCCCACAAATATTTCCATAGCTGTCGTATCCTGATACTAGTCTTGCTGCTGCACCTGTTGCTATTGAAAAGCCACAAATAAATCCCTAGGAAAGAAACAGAAAAAAAAAACATACAAATAAACCATCTCAATAGCAACAGTCACTAGTTGATACGATAATAAGCTTCTTTTGTCTGTTGAAGGGAACAAAGAGCTGTCTTTCCTTACTGCAAACACTATTCCACTGTTTTCCTTGGATCGCAAGTAAGCAACACAAAGCGTTCCTCAGGGAAACACTATTTACTACCATAACAAAACAAATCCCAAGCTTTTACATCATAAGATCATCTTTGCAGTTTATGATAATAATATTAATAATGGCACCTTCTCGATACTGAACATCTGCTCTGTATGAGGCTGTGAACTACTTGCTTATCGTACATTATCTCTCATTTTTATGAGGAGGAAACTGAGGCCCGGAGAGGTTAAATGATAGAGTCAAACCCAGCTTTTCTTAATCCTTTAGTCTCATTTGGTTGTAAAGGGGGTGCTGTTAAATAAACAGAATCAAAGGAGGAAAGAGAAAAATTCAAAGAACAAAAGGGATGTGGCTTTTGAATCATTATCATTTCACTACACGCAACACTTGTGTCCTTCCTGCAATAAAGCTGTATGCAAGCCAAAGAATTACATCACGAAGCGCTGCCATGCTCTTAATATTGGAGATGAAGCGGAGTGAGGCACTGGCATTGTGTACTGTAAAGGTCACTTCATTTCATGGGAATATGCTTCATCACAACCAAAGAAAAATGGCAGATGCTTCAGAATTGCATTGTGCTCACCAAGTCACACATGCACTCATCAAAACAAAACAATACAAGCCCAGATCAGACAGCAGGCTACTGGGTGTGAGGAGGGGAAGTAAGGTGACTCTCACGCAATCGAGGTTAAGAGACATTCTTGCAATCTGGTCATTAAATGGTTGAGTTTTTCTTATCTTTAGTAAAATGGTTAAGAAGGCAGAGGTTATTACCATTTAATTCATGACAGCCAAGTATCCTAAGTAGTACTTATCGAAATAGCCCTGCTAGATCTCAGGCCTACAGAGAGAAATAGCATCTTTATATACAATTCCTCATAGAAGAGTATTTCCTCCCCTTCAATTTACTTACCTAAAAAAACCAAAGAAATTCTTTTCTAAATAACCCCTCTACTTTCATTGTGCAGGTAAGGGCAGCGAGAGGGCAGAGTGGAGAGTGTAGCTCTAGTCAGCAGAAACTTATTACTGAAACTACACTTTGTAAGAAAGCAGAGTTGGAGTAGAGACTATCCCTGACTTCTTACTCTCTAGCTCTCCGATTCTGGACAAGTTACTTCAACTTTCTGCCTCCATTTAGTCACCTATAAAATGGAAATGAGTATGTGGCTCATCAGGCTATTGTAGGGATCAAGTGACATAATCAAGTTAAGTGGGAAGAAACCCAACTGGCACATAGTAGGAGCACAAGAAACATCATTGTTACTACAAATGAGAAAACACCATAAAGAAAAGAAGGTGAGCTCTGGGGTCAGACAAACCTGTGTTGGTCAATGGAATGCTGATGACTCTGTTGCCTAATTGTGTGACTGTGGACAAATATGCTTAATTCTCTATGCCTCAATTGACCCATCTATAAATTGGAGCTAAAATCATTTACCACAGAGGCTGTTGTGAGAATTACATGAGATAAGACATGTAAGTGTATTACTCTATACATGGCAGTGCCCTTCCACCTCACCCTGGCAGCTAACTCTGGGTTAGGAACAGCTCACGTTGGTACCTGCTCATTCACATTCAACCTAGCACCTTTTCCCGCTTCTTCTGACTCCTCCAAGGATACTATAGGGCAATCAAGTCCACCTGACAACTTCAACCCAGTATTAAGACAGGAGAAAAAAAAAATCTTCTTCATACACACACTTGTGGAAATTAGTATACCATTCTAAGCATATCCTTGAACTCCAAATTAGAAAACCATGCACTGAGCAAAAATTGGGAAAGGAGGTTAAGTATTGGGATGTTTAATGGCTACCTTTTCCAATACATTCTTTAACAAGAAGAACCAAAGAGTAATAGAAAGGGAATAGACTTAGTAGGCAGACAGACCTGGATTCACACCCTCATGCTACTACTGAACACCTGGGTGACTCTGATCCAATGACCTTCTTAGACTCCCTTCCCTCTTCATCTCTAACACAGAGTAATACCGTCCATCTCACAGCCTAATGGTGAGAACTAAATGAGGTAACACTTATCCAATCCCTCCCCGAATGTCTGGTACACGGCAGGTGATCAATGAAAGGTAGCTGTTGGTAGTAAATTTGGGAAAGTGCAACTACAGAGGTTAACAAGAGTAATGGGAGAGTAAGAAAAACCCCTTCAGCTCTCCATTTTAGAACAAAAATTTTTAGAGGGGAAAAAGTAGGAAATAATGTCAGTAATTTTGTTATCACACAAAAATATTTCTGGACCACAATTATAGTCTTCTTTTGCTACTAATCTAGAATAGCAAAGCCACTGCATAATTAAAAGGTTATGTTCTTCTTTCACTTTTTACAGGAATTTTCTTCTTACATTTGATAAGTACGTTGTGTTACAGATTCCTTTAAACGGTTTCTGAATTTTTTTTTTTTTGAGACAGAGTCTCACTTTGTTGCCCTCAGTAAAATGCCCTGGCATCATAGCTCACAGCAACCTCAAAGTACTGGGCTCAAGCAATTCTCTTGCCTCAGCCTCCATCTGGCTATTTTTCTTTCTTTCTTTCTTTTTTTCTTTTTTTTTTTTTGCTACAGAGTCTCAGTCTGTCACCCTGGCTAGAGTACCCTGGAGTCACAGCTCACAGCAACCTCAAACTGTTGGGGTCTAGCGATTCTCTTGCCTTCTAAGTAGCTGAGACTACAGGTGCCCACCACAATGCGTAGCTAGTTTTTTTTTTTGTTTTTTTTTTTAGTTTTTTTAGTTTCCTATTTTTAGTAGAGATGAGGTCTTGCTCTTACTCAGGCTGGTCTCAAACTCTTAAGCTCCAGCAATCCATCCACCTTGGCCTTCCAGAGTGCTAGGAATATAGGCATGAGCCACGGTGTCCGGCTTCTTTTTTTTTTTTTTTTTTTTTTTTT